ATCAAAACAAGAGTGCCGTAAGTACTCTTTTAAACGGATGATAAAAGTGAATGCAAGCGGAAAGTCGGCACAAACAAAAGTCTACAATTTCCCCTAAATAAGAACAATGTAATGCAGAGAGAGGGAAAGAGGGTTTTGAAGAGCTTCTGACAAATAATTCTGAAAATTAATCTGGTTTCATCAAACTTTCCCACATCACTAACGAATATGCTACAAGAGTTTTAAAAAATATCTAAAATTTTGAAATCCAAAGAGCACAGGAAGGAAAACCAAAAAGACGTATGGACTTACATGTTCATCAGGAACCTGAGCAATCTCCAAGAGCTGGGATCAACAAGAGAAAAAAAAAACAATTTTAGAGATCAAGAAATTGAGTTGGTTCTTCAGTAGCACAAGAAATTGCAGCAGTAAGAAGGATCATGAGATGCAAAAGGTTTGCGATATTTTTTTATATAGAGTACGAAGATATGCATAATTGGTAATAAAATGCATCTACAGAATCCAAAACAATGAACAGTAGGTAGCAGAATAGCAGTTTACAGATGCATTAGAAAATGTACATTATAAACAAGAAATGAAACATTTAAGAACTTACCTGGACTTTTCCTTCATAAGAAATGAGAGTTCCTCCCTTCACATCAGCTAAGGTTTTGGGTGTAACCTCCATACAGTACTCGTTCTTGTTCTGGATCAAGTGCTTCAAGATTTCTGCAGCAGTAAGACCAAGTAGGAGGCAAGAAAGACAGTTAGTAAGAGATTTTCATGTACAATTTTTGATTAACAGTTTAGACTACGTGTAAACAAGAAAGAACAATCTATAAGAAGACATACTTAAGTCAACGATGGCACCCAAGTTGTCTGAATTGGCAACGAACACATATTCTTTACCCTGCGAGACCCATAAAACCAAATTTTCAATAAGGACGTACATTTATCCTAAATGCTATGAAAATAGTAGTTAACTGAATTAAAGACTGAACCTGGGACAAGAAAGCATCAAGTTTTCCACTGTTCATCAGGGATGGGAATACATCACCATGACCAGGAGGATACCTTCACAAAGCAAAATCATTAGTAGGCGATCTGAAACCTATTAAAAAAATCACAAGCTCATGTTCTCCGCAACCATTGACTGATCTCAGAGAGCACAGGGCATTATGATACATTTCAAAAAACTTGAGTTATAATGGAGCACAAGAAGGCCAACCAAAGAGGAACTTAATATGTAAAAGCAAGCGGATACTACTGTATTGATTGATAGCATAACAAATTGAAACTATACCAGCCATCCTTGTCGGTCTTTCCCTTGCTGGGCCATGGCACAAACTCATCTGCGACAACACGGGGGTATTTGCTCTAGAAAATCCAAGTAAACATTATTAGTTGCAGATCCGATGTCAATTATTTTCATATCGACAATTTTATGTACTAATTATATCTGCATCCACACCACACACCTGGTTAAAAGTGTGGATGTCAACATTTGCGTTGGTGTACTTTTCCACAATCTGAATACAGACGGAAACAGTCAGACTAAAAGAATAACATAAATTTAGAAAGTGAAAGAGTGTGACTCAGAGTGAAATAGAAGTACCTTTTGTGTGTCATCATGTGTATTGAACGAGTTCATGAGAACCAACGGGACCTTGCAGCCATACTTGTTGTTGAGATTCTGTGTGTGAGCATACATCAAGATTAGTAAACATGAACGAAGTACCAGAACAGAGTAATAAAGAAAATGACGAACCTCAATCTGGATAACAATCAGATCCAGAAATGTCAAACCATCACGAACTTCGATAACCGACCTGGACAGGAAGAAAAAAAAAAGCAGTATATAATTTCTTCACTTCCTAAATCTCGGAATCACTACTACAAGACTAATATGCCAAAATTTCACAAGAGATGGTTCACTAGCTTCAATATGAATGTTACATCCATTAGCAATGACTTATACTGTGGAACATGAGAACAGAGTTTAAAAAGCAGGACATCATGGCCAATAGACTCTAGAGCACACATAAACAAAAATCAATTCAACAGTGACGTTGAAATCTCAAAGAAACAAGAGCAACTAGGAATTAAGCTTACTTGGGACCAGTGCATCCCATTGTTGTCCCAAGACCTCCATTAAGCTTCAAGACAACAAGTTTGTCCAAAAGATTCTTGGTCTCAGAAACATCTACATCATTTGTAAAACATAAACATCTTAGTCTCATAGAGAAACTACAAGCAGAAACCTTCTAAACAGATCAGAGTATCAGTGAAGAAGACGGATGATACATACCTTCAGAGACTGGAGCCATTTTCTCGTAAGGGACAACGATTTCATCAGTAGGTGTCTGGATCTTACTCCACTCAATGTGCTGTGCCTCACCACTTATGAAATCAAAGTCACATAGAATCTAATTAGCTCTACCGTAACGTCATCAACAAGCAACACAGATCTAAATCTAGATCCGATCCGATTTCAAATCTAGAAACTATTTGTTTCGATCATCACAAATCAATCACAAGCGGTTAAAGAGAAAGACAAACCTGAGGTAGCGTGAAACGAGGTTGATGAATCCACTCTTCTCATTCTCACTGAAACAAAAAAAAAACAGATTCAAATCGAAAATAATCACGAAACGTCAGATCTGCGATACAAAACGAACAAATCTGAAGAAGGCGAACCTCATCTCTTTAAGGCCATGGACGGCGGATTTGAGCTGGGGGAGATTCTCGGTGGTGGCAGCCATCGTCGATTATCGATTTAGAGATTCTGAAGATTGTAGATGAAGATGGAAATTGAAAAGCAGAGATGAATTTATAAGCCGAATTGGGAGGAGTCATCACCTCAAACGCCCTTATTCAAAAAATTTAAATCACTTATATCCTCCACTAATCTTAATACCCTTCATCATTTAATGAAAATCCCAAATAAATCATTTCCAAGCGATCAAAACTAAACAAAAACCCCCCCTATGGATCAGTGAACCCATGGGTAAAATATTTAAATTCTATATGTTTCAAATTCGTCAAAAAAATATTTTAAACCCGTTTTTTAATCATTTTTGGTGATTTTCGGAAAAATATGAAAAAACAGTTTTTTGATTTTTGAAATTTTTTTATAAAATTCTATAAATGAAATAAAAAATATTGACGTTTTCAATTTAATTNGTGAACCCATGGGTAAAATATTTAAATTCTATATGTTTCAAATTCGTCAAAAAAATATTTTAAACCCGTTTTTTAATCATTTTTGGTGATTTTCGGAAAAATATGAAAAAACAGTTTTTTGATTTTTGAAATTTTTTTATAAAATTCTATAAATGAAATAAAAAATATTGACGTTTTCAATTTAATTTTATGATTTTTCTTTTGACATATAAAATTAAAAGAAAAAAGTGAGGACATTTGAGCTTTAAAGTTTTCAAATAAGGGCCCTTGAGGCAATTACTCAGTTTCGGAGGAGTAGTGGTGATGAAGTGACGATGCGTGTCATTTACAGCAAATATATACACACATTTTCTCTCCGTGCCAATAATATAATCTAGGGCGATTCTCTAAAATAGTCTTTTAAAGTTTTTTTATCACAAAAATAGACTTCAATAATTAAAATGACCAACAAAAATAGACTTCAACAATTAAAATGACCAAAATAATACTTTTTATTTTGAAAATTTTAAATTTTCTTAATTTTTTTAAATTCAAAACCATATCCCTAAAACTCCACTCCTCAACTCTAAACAAAAAAATCTACGATTAGTTAACCCAAAGGGTATAAATATATATTTAATATAACATTTAAATGCTATTTTGCTCATTTTAATTGTTAAGGTCTATATTTGTGATAAAAACCATTTTAGGTCTATTCTAGTCATTTTCTCTATAATTTACGGTACAAGGTCAATTCTCTCGAATATCATTTTTTTAAGTTTTTATCATAAAAATAGATCTTAAAAACTAAAATGATTAAAATAATATTCTTTTATTTTAATAATTTTAAGTTGTTTTTAAGGCAGTTCTCTCAAATAATCATTTTTTAAGTTTTTATCACAAAAATAGAGCTTAAAATTAAAATGACCAAAATAGCACTTTTTGTTTTGAAAATTTTAAATTTTTTAAAATTTGAAACCCTATCTCCACTCCTCAACTCTAAACAAAAAGATTAGAATTAGTTAAACCAAGGGGTATAAATGTAATTTAATAAAACATTTAATTGTTATTTTGGTCATTTTAATTGTCAATGTCTATATTTGTGACAAAAACTTAGTCATTTTCTCTTTTTTAAAAAAAAAAATTTAAAATTTAAAAGAGAAATTCTCTCAAATAGCACTCTTTTAAGTTTTTATCACGAAAATAGACCTCAAAAATTAAAATGACCAAAATAGCACTATTTATTTTAAAAAGTTTAATTTTTTTTTATTTTTTAAAATTTGACACCATATCTCTAAAACCCCACTCCTGAACTCTAAACAAAAAAAGTTTAAGATAAATTAACCGAATGGGTAAAAATGTATATTTAATAAAACATTAAGTGCTATTTTAGTCATTTTTATTCTCAAGTGCTATATATGTGACAAAAAAAAATTTTAGTGCTATTTTAGTCATTTTCTCAATTTAAAATCCTATATCCAAAACCCACTCCTCAACTCTAAACAAAAAAATCTAGAAATAGTTAACCTAAAGAGTAAAAATGTATATTTAATAAAAAATTTAAGTGTTATTTTAGTCATTTTAATTGTTACGATCTATATTTGTGATAAAAACTTTTTAGAGTCTATTTTAGTCATTTTCTCTACAGTAAATTATAATAACCAACCAAAAGGCTCAAGAAGATAAAAATAAACCATAACAATCATGTCCTTGAAATATCATCATAAGCAATCGAAATCATCCAAAATCCAGCATAAATAAAAATATCTCCAACAAAACCAAAAGGAACAAAAGAGTATATTCTCTCAAAACCATAAAGAAAAAAGAGAACATAAGAGAATCCTCTAGAGAATATTCTCTCACTCGGGAGGAAGATTGAACAAGGCCTTGATGTTTTGAACAATTGTGCTGATCAACGTATTCATTGTGTCCACTTCATTCTGAGACATCATTCTGCCCCCACTGTTTACACCAGCAGAGAGAAGGATCTGAAAAGCCAACGTGAGTAAAGTTCCACCGGCCTCAGCCCCCATGGATCCCCGGCCGTCGCTTGAGATGGTGAAGCCAGAAGGTTGGATTGGAATCGCCAAAGGGTTGACTTCCCCGGAGGCAACGTTGCTCATTGCAGCCATGTCGACTTGAGCGTACACTATCATACCTCCTAATTCGTCCATGTAACACTCTTGTAGCACCCTCCTCGTGACTGGTTCTTGTACATTTTGGCGCTAATAATTGGATATAAATACAAGTAAAGATTATTAGATGAGTTGTGTATAACAACCAAAACATTAGTTATTAAGAGACAGTTCAGGAACTGTATGTACCTGGAGTAGACTGATGTAGTTTGTTTCACTTTCACTTAATCCGGTGAAAATGCGACCGGTCTCAGTGATTGCGTTTCCATAACAAAGAACGTCCCACTGTTTTGCATGCAAACATGGTTTGTTGTTAATACCATTGGTCCATCATCCTATATAGTATATACTATGTTGTCGATAATAATGCAAGCACGTAAAGAGAAGAAATAATGAAACCTGGTGACGAAAGTCGTTGCTTCTCAGCAAGTTGAAGACTTGCGAAGGAGTGCTAGGAATTGAGAGACAATATGCAGCACTGGCAACTTGACCGACTTCCTCGTTCATTCGCGTTGAGATTCTGACTCCTCCATACTCAATATTCCCGGGCATGATCAACATTTCGCTGAAGTTCTTCAACATTATTTCCCCTAATTTCATCACACTCCTTCTTCCTTCCACTGTTAGTAGAGCTGTCAAAACATTATCACAAACATCAGTGAGAATTGTTCCACTTATCACAAATTAAAATACAAATTATCCAACATTGTAATGTTAAGCCACATTTCTTTGATACAAGTGAGACTTTTTACACTATTACAAATTAAAATATTGATTAATTATGATTAAGAAATATATATATTTGATTTGTATAGTTAAGAAAAGATGAATCATACTTTCCCACCGGTCAGTAACCGGAATGGTTGTGGCGGAGGAGAGAGTCATTCTCGCACACATTTTCTCAAGGGTAACGATCCAACGCTTAGCTCCATAGCCCGAACTGCTACTTACAAGATCTCGATACACCCCCTGCGTCTCGGGTCTATCGTCCACTACCACATGCTCTATCCACGTTACCTAAAATATTTTAATAACATCAATTAAGCTAATATAATGCATACATATATACCGATTGTAGACATGTCGAGATCAATCAAGGGAATGGAGATACCTTGCTCCGATCATTGGACAAGGCTTCGATGAGAACACCAGAAGGACGTTTATAACAAGACTGACTGACTTTGTGGTTAGAATCAATGAGTGACACATCAGCAATAATCCAGTGCCTTTCCTTGATATTTCGGCAGCATCGAACGATCGTAAACTCCCTTGCTGGCACTAGGGGAGACAATATGTGTAGCTGCTGCTCCCATACCTATCAACATTCAAAAATTCATTACATATATACATTAAGATAGAATCATCAGAATTTAGAGTAGATCAGTCCATCTCGAAGCTAAACTTGAATTGAAATCTCTAAATCCAATGCAATGGTATACGTAATAACTAGATTTGATAATGTTTAAAGTTCCAGAGTTAAAATACTTCTTACACTAATTAACTCGGATCCGAGCGTAAGAATCGTCCTGGCCGTGTTCACGATCGTTGGAAAAAGCGTTTTCCATTTCTCCTACAATAAAAAAGTGCATGTCACATTTTTCTACAAGAAAGTCCAGCAGTAAGGAGGGCAACATTTTTTTCCCCAAAATATATTTAAACTATGTGAAACTGCAAAAATACAAAACACTTATGAAGTTCTTATGATTTAGACAAATATGTATACTATATAGTTTTTTGGATCAAATAGATAGTTTTATAAGTCATATTAGAAGCAGATCAAATGCAAATGCAGCAGTTAATTTCATCCTAATTAATATAATCCTAATATTCATTTTGATGCATAATTGAACACATACCGAATCTAAGAACATAGCAATCAAGCTGGTTGCCTTTATAGGAATGTCCCTGACAACTCTAGAAGACTCGACAGGAGCACTCGAGTTCCTGAATTGTTTGACTGACTGCGAGAAGTTCTCATAGCTGTCTTGCTCAATCACATATGTTCCATCTATAGACGACATTAACCAAAGACGAGCTTGGTCGGTAAAAAATAGCCGCCTAAGCTCTTCAACCGCACTTGTCCCAGTTGCAGTCAGCTGCGAATTATCCATTTGGGGTTGTTGTTGTGGTTGGATATTTTGAGATTTTGATGAGCTAGGTCGCTCGAAGGGATTATCTGGATTATATCCGTATGAGGTGAGAGTTTCAAAGGTTTGCTGTCTTTGAGGGAATGAGTCCATCATGGTTTGTTGATGCTTGATCTTGTCCACCAACAAGTCACGCTAAAATTTATTAGTATGTGTATTAAAATTTATTTAAAACACTGGTTCATGGTCTAATCTGGTCCAATCGGTTCGGTTAAAAACACTGGTTTAGAGAAATGAAATCAAATGATTACCTCCGTTCTGAGACGAGCGTTTTCTAAACGCTGGTTTTGGATACGGAGTTTGCGTTCAAGTTCAGTTCCGCCAAAAGGAGGACCACCACAAGGTGGACAAGTCACAGTTTGTAAAGCCTCTAACATTACAGCATTCTGACATCGGATTGTTTCATTTTCTTCACGAAGCAATTTGTTTGAATTTCTCACATCTTCAACCTATAGCAAATGAAAAATATATTAAATAAAATAGCAATTGGTTTAATATCAAATATAAAGATTTGCTAAGATAGTTACTTTGCTTTGAGCTATTTTGTTCTGAAACCAACTTTTGATTTGGTCTATCTCGAGGTCCACCCTTTTGCATAGCTCTTGTCTCTGTAATTCGTTTGGATGAGGATATTCTTTGAAATAACTTCATTCATAACAAAATTTAAAAACAGTGATTAAAACTCACTAAATTTTTAAAATGTATAAAGATTGATAATTAGATTTACGCTTCTAGTATCTGAATATCTTGCTGACTGTAACGGTTAGAACCTCTCTTCTCTGTTGAAATGGCGTTTACTGAAATATACTGCTCGTTGTCTGGGCTTCCATCACCATCATAATCCATTTTGTTCTTCACAATGGAGATTGAAGAAGTTGATTTGTTTGGTGTATTTTTTTTTTGTTAATTCACAAGATATATAGAATTTATAGGGAAAAGGTAATGCTGTCTTCGAACAGAAGTGAATGAGTCCATCATGGCTTATATATATGCAAAAAGTGGTCCAAGCCTAATTAAAAATATATACAAGATTATAAACTGAAAATAAAAGGGAAAATGTAGATATTTACAGAGTGGGTACTATTATATGCTAAATGGTTAATTCTTAATTTTACTTAATTCAAAAGGTAATTCTTAATTCTACTAAGGAAACCTTCAACGATTTGTTGAGGAGGAGCTCAAACTAGTTAATGGTTCACTATTTGTTTAAGTATAATATACAAAAAAATATATTTCATACAAAATATGAACATAAGAAACTTTATTAAAATTCAAAATACTTTCCTGATAAAAATATTCTATATTGAATCAAAAATCAAAGATAATAATTATGTAATTACATTATATATGTTTATTATTAATATTTTTATAATATGAAATATAAAGGGGTTAATCCACACTCAACCAAGCTTTTAATGTTGTATGTGTCTCTTATATTTGAAGGTTTATGTATTAGCTAAATATGATTAGTATTTAAATTACAAAAGCTTCTGCTAATCATGAAGTTATATTTTGGCCAAATATTTTATAATGTCAATTATTTTTAAAAAATATCATTAGTAAATTATAATATTAATTATTATTTTTATATCTTACATTCAAATGTATATACAGCTCGTTCCACAATTGCATATAAAAACAACTAAAGTGGTAGTGAAGAAATAAAATTAGAAAACTCCAAAAGATTGATTCACTCAGTGTTTAGAAAATTTTGGTTTAGACCATTAATATTTTCACCGTTACAATATACTTTAATTCATTCGTTTTAGACTTTCAAAACTCTATGGATGACACCATTAGTTTGTGATGCAATTGCAAGTAGTCGAACTAGGAATATGGTGCATTATATATTCAATAAAAATAATACCAACATACCAATTAAGAATTTTTTCCTGAGAGAACTAATATTGTATGACCAGTTCATAACTGAACCCAATGACCACAGATTCTCCATATCTGCTGTGACACACTCAATGTTCAATATTGCACTCCGGTCGAGTTGAATTTGTTCATCATCACACTGGATTACTATTGAGATCTTTTCTGATTTGGCCAACTAACATAACTAACGATTTAGTCCACACAATCGTTTACAAATCATATGATCAACACATGTTTAATAGTTAATAGAGAGAATCTATTTTTAAAGTTGAAATCTTGTATTTTTTTCAATACCCAATTTCAATAAATCTTTGATCCGTGCTTTTGAAAGCGCGATACTTTTTTTTTGAAAACATCTATTATATTAAAAGAGAAGTCATGACTCACTTCATGTGTGATTTTTAAGTTCAGATCACCCTTAGAAATTTTATATAACAGAACATCATTATAATATCTTTTCATATCTTTAAATTTTATTTGAAATACAAATAAATAATTTTAAGACAAGTCTAACAAAATCTTTAAAAAATCTTATAGAATCTTTTCAAGATATAGTTTCAAAAATTATTTGATTAAAAATTTAATTATCATAGAATATAATTTATTTAATTCATTTTTTTAAGAAAAAATTAAAATTATGTAATATACTTTTAACAATAACCCAAAATTTTGTTTATGCATTATGTAGGTCCAATTTAATTTACTTTTTATATATTTTAAATTTAGAAATAAAATAAAATATATAATTAGTAATGTTACATAATAATATTTTTAAAAATTGTTACAAAAATACAAATTTATAAATTTTAAATTAATAATATTATAAGCTACATAAATATTATTATAAATTGGATAGTATATACAATCAAATTATATTTATTTATTGATAAATTTTACTCCCTCCTTACTTAATATATGATATTTTGGATCATAACACAAAAATTAAGAAATTTACATTCTTTTACAAAAGTATTTTTAAAGATATAATTTTATAATCATTCAACAAATTATTAAAAAGAGTAAAATTTTATCGGTTGAATAGTTTCCAATAAAGTTAAAGATAACTTTAAAACCTCAAAATATACCTTAAAATCTCAAAACATCTTATATTTTGAAATAAAATAAATCTTATAAAACATCATCTATTTAAAATGGAGTGAGTATTATATAATTTCAAATATTTTCGTATTAAAATACCCGCACGGTTGTGCGGGTCGAGATCTAATATACTCTATTAAAATAGAGTCATTCTTTTTATCTACTGATACAAGTTGTTATTTAAATTTGGACCCTTTCTAGAATGTTACAAATAATATAAGTCATATAATTGATTGAACCGTTTACTTAAATTAAACCAACACAATTAATGTAAAAAGACAACTTTAATGTAAACTACCTTCAAAATACGGCAGATATCTATGTGTATACCAAAAACACATATTTTCTCCTACAAATATGGAATGTTCTAAAAGAATATATATCATCAAAACATGGAATATGGAAATCTACTAATTATACTTAAATTAAACCAGTGGTTATTTATGAAATATAGTTTTGCGTTTACTTTTGTTTTTTTGAACAAATTATATATTTTGGTTTTTGGGCTTAGAATTAAGAAAAAACTCCAAAAAACATTGAATAAAATTTTCACTTTTACAGATCAAAAAATCAATTATTATTTTCAGACCTAAAAGGTATTTAATATTTTTAACAAAACAAAATTATCTATTATTAATCATTTATTTAAATCATGTACTTTAAAACATGTTAATATATTTTTTTATTTTAAATAAGAATCACTTTGTTTTGATAAATTTCAATGGTAACTTTTAAATAATTTATTGTTTTATTTTTCTTAAATAATTTACTGATTAAAAAAATGTAAAGCAAAACCAAAAACCAAATCTAAAAACTAAAATCCAAAACCAAAAGCTGAAAACACATGTTATATTGTTTTGCTATGTTTATTTACAAAATAATCTATTTCAAATTTTTTTAAAAAAAATTTGTTGTCATCTTTTCAGTTTTAAATTAGATGTTCGATTATTTGAGATTTGTTTGTTGGTAATATCAGTTCAAACTAACTCAACGGGTTTAAAAATTAAAAACCCAAACCAAAAACTGAAAATAAAAAGTAGAAACATAAAAACTAAAAACCAAAATCTAAAAATAAAAACTGAAACTAAAAACTAATGAAAAACAATCATCCCCACAAATTTTGGCGAACTGATTTTATATCAAAATATTCTTTAAATTAAGATAAAACCCAATTATATAAATTTTTAATCATAAAAATTTTCCGCGCTTTCAAGCGCGGATCAAAATCTAGTTTTATTTTATAATCTAGAAATTTATATTATGTTATAGTTAAAAAATACGATGCTATAGTTTATTAATCATTATGACTAATTAAAATTTATCGAATAAATATATGATGTGTTCTATGTAGATGTGTAAGTTCTGAATTTTTATTTATTATATCGAATCAATTTCTATTATAATATTTTGTATATAATTTCTTTCAATATGAAACTTTTTGAGGTGTAATATTCTTTTGCTTATGAAAACCTTAAATTATAAAATTTTGAATTGGATTTATTTTGCAAACACATAAATATGTGGATTTATTAGAAAATATTGTGGATTTGTTGGTCCCCAATGTTCAATTGTGGTGCCAATTTTTTAAAGAATTAAATTTATATGTTAAAATAGTTAATTTAATGTCTGTTTTTATGATATTTTTATGGGGTGTTATTGGCTTGTGATTTAAAATGAGTTATAGTGGTTTTAAAAATTAAAATATAAAAATAAGTTTAGATAACTTTTGAAATTTTGTTAGAGTTTTGTAGATTATAGAAGATTTTAGTTGAAGATAATTGTAAACTTTTACTGAGTATCCCTAAATATTGTGTTGTCGTTATCTATTATTTTCGTCATTGTTTATTCATTTTCTAAAATTTTACGTTATAATTCAGTGCATTAAAAAAAGACTTGAAGCTTGGTTTTAAACCAGAAAAAAAAAACTGCAGCCTTTTATATACCATTCTCTACTTTGTTTTTGATTTTTATGTCAACATTAATGTTTGTATTCTGCTATAAACATCCAAAATTATAGAAGAGGAAGTCGATCATGAGGTTGGTCGTTACGGAGATTGCAGCTTGTGGTTCAGTAACGACAATCAACCTTTGCAAAATCCATTTGACCAAAGGAAAGAAAATGAATGAGTTATATATTCTTGTAATTATAAAAGACTTTGAAAATCCTGATCAACGTGACATATTCTGAAATAAAAGATTCTGTCAAGAAAATGTGTGAAATCACTAAAGACAAAATCAGTATTTTCATATTTTTTTGAATAACACAAGATTTTTATGGATTTTATAAAATAATGAATCCAATAACTCTGAACTTTAGAAAACTTCTAATTACTTATTAAAAATTCATAAACTAATAACACAATACTTTAACATAGTTTTGAAATTTATTGAATACACAAGAGTCATTCTAAAGTCTAAGTCTTTATAGTTCTTTATTAATACATAATCCAATAACACCCTCTAAAAGTTTATTCGTCCAATGTTATCAGGCGTGGAATCATATCTTTTGAAAAAATTTCATACAAGTTTTAGTGATGTTTCTCTAATATGGTTACGTTGTATAAATATGAATAGAACAAAACATACTATTGTATATTTAATAAATGTCTAATATCAACCGAGAACATCATTGACTAAAAAAAGAGAACATTCATAATTTATATATTGACTATATTATGCATATCGTATAGTATAGATGTATATTAATAATAACAGCAAGGAGGGCTGAGTATATCATAGGCATGTTTATTAGTTATAAGGAATGTCAACTTACGTTTGGAGGCATGTATTAAGTTGATTTGATGTTAGGTTTTTAAGATAATTAATAAATTATTTAGCAAAAATAAAAAGATAATCAATAAATCCTT